ACTCGGGTGTTGGCATCATTTATTTCTGGTGGTGTGTGACTGGGAGCCCCAGCTTCTGACTGGCAAATGAGGGCTGCCCTCAGCCTAGGGGCCACTGCAGTTCCCCACCTCATGAAACTTTCCACAGTTCAGCTAGAGGGTGTCTCTCTGGGCTGCTCAATGGTTTCTTATACAACAGACCAGATTCATGGTGGTAGCAGCTTGTCAGCTTTACTCTATTCACTGGATTGAAAAAATCACAGATTCTTCCCACACTTAAAAGAAGAGGGTGACACAAAGAATAAAGGGTGCAGATGTCATTAGGCCATTTAAAAATTCTTCTTCCCATGCCCACCATTCTATGGAAGCTGGTTTGTGATTTTAAAAAGTAGCACCTCACATTATTAGAGAAATGGTGTTCTATTAAAAAATGACATAAAAATAACAGTACCCAAATGTGGGAGAAAAGTAGATTTCCCTAGATCAGGACTTCTCAACCTTGGCAGTCTTGATATTTTGGGCTGGATAATTCTTTGCCAGGCATGAGACAGTGTGATGTAGGAGATGATGGTAGCTACCAACTAGACACCAATAGAAACCCTATGTGAAAACTAGAAATGTCACCAGGTGTTACAAAATGTCTCCTGGGAGGCAAAATTTCCCAGCGGAGAACCTCTGCCCTACCGGTGTGCAAATATACACACATACAGGCAGTCTTTGCTTTGCATGGTAGTGCAGAACTATAAAAATGACCATACAAGCTTCCAATATTTTACTGTTTGAACTTTCAAGGCTGTGAAATATGTCTGGGATTTTCTTTAATGTGCAGTGTTACTGGCATCACTATTTCTGGGATAACTATTATTTTTACAAGTTCTCTTATTTGTCTGTAAGGTCACCTTCACTGTGGCTGAGAAGTGGGAGTCTTTTCAATAGCAGAAGTATCAAGACTCTTGCAGTTGCCCACTTTTCCCACCTCTATTTACATTTGATTCTAGTTTCCCTTCCAGCGTCATTACTTCTTGTGTCTTTGTTGCACTTTCATCTTTGTTGGCAAACTCCCTTTCCTAAGTGTTGGTCTTTGTTAGCTGTCACATGGCTTATCACTGTGAGTCTGTACACAGCTGCTGTCTGTGCGTGTACTAAGTAACAGATGTACAGCCACCACTTGCCAATAGACTTTGAAAGGAGGGACACGATTAGACACTGATGATGACGCACACGTGTTGTTTGTGTAGTGACTGTGGGCTGACGGGAGAGCCCTGAGTTCGTACAGTAGCACTTGAGGTGTTTGCTCACAGTTCTTGGCCTGTGGTGCTGACATTTGAACAGTATTGTTGAGGGACTGGTGAATTTAACTAAACTGTGGTGACAAAGAATCATGCGTATGGACACACTTCAAAGAAGGAAACACATCTGTGTCCACAGAATGCTGAAAAATCTGAATTTTATAACCCCTCCAAAAAAATGTAGAGTAAGACAATATTTTAAAACCAAGCACCAAATGATCTACCAGTTCTCCCTTAGGAGATTAGACTCTGAGAATCTATAGAGAAGAGAAAATGCAGCTCCATGCAACTGTCTTCAATGCAGAAGGATTTGCAATAGCTTTAAACCAGAAAAAGCTTTTCTGTTGGTTAAGCAGGAAATACATTGTGGCCTGTATGCGCTGCTGGAGCTCATTCTCACATTTAAATGCAAACAATTATTCTATATGTGTTCATAGGGCATGATCTCCAAATATCAGACATAGTAAAAATAAATATTTAAAGATGCACTATGTGTAACATGTCTATATTGATTTTAATGAAAACACTAACAAAGACAATACTACTGTGATTACAGATGAAGATAGGTAAAAAATGAAAAAGGGATTGAAAAGGCACATTAAATTTATAAGAATGTTGCCTCGAGTCCCAGAGCTGTGATCAGCTTGCCCCAGTCACAGGGCTGGTCAGAGGTGGAGCTGGGAATGCAGTTCCAGCAGCTTGGCTTCCTTGGGCCTGCTCTTCTTTGCCTTGAGGGTGTTGCTGGCCTAGTGGGATGGGGGCTCCAGCTGGCAGGAGAGCTTGTAGCTGCAGGACAGAGAGGCAGCTGCTAGTCTACCAGGAGCCACACCTCAGCTCTCCCTCCCAGTGCCTGCCACACAGCTGGAGTCCTGGTGCCCCACTGGTCACCATGCAACAGGGTCCGTGGCTGACCAGATAGCCATGGCCCCAGGCTCTCTGCAGCTGCCACCAGAAAGAGTTCTCTATCCCCTATCATCAAATTCCTGCAAGCCCTCATCTCTCGTTGTTACTGAGCCACTCAGTTAGACCTAAACCAGTTGCCAAATTCTTCCTTCTTCTTGATGATATAATTGTTGGCTGCCACCTGGAGAAGCTGTATTTCTCTCAGGACTTTAATTTTCTGGGGCCACAGAAAAAACAGGATGCTGACAGGGCCTGGGTGGGAGATGCTAAAGGGGCCTTGTTGGGGAGGGATGGAGCAGGGAGCTGGTTTGCAGACTTTTCTCTTAAGTGATACCCTCCTCTCCTTCAATCCCATCCATGCCCCAACCTGTTCTCGGTGTTGGGTTCAAACAGCCTGTCCCCCAGAAATATGTCCTTGATTCCTGTCCCCTTCCCACACCCTCCAGTGGGATGGGATTCCCTCCTCCGTCTATCAAATCTTCCTAATAAATCAAAGTTGCAGGGGATGCAGCCAGGAAGTGTCCTGCCTGGGGGAGAGGACCCGTCTCTGACTTCCACATCCCCCCCGCTCCCTTGAGCGAGGGCCGCAGCTGCTCACCTTCCTCCTTCTCTGGGTGTTGAATATGTTTCCTTGAAAGAAAGATGGTCCAAGTCTATCAGAAAGGCCCCCTAACCCATTTCTAGCCCCATCCTCACCCGTTCCCATGTTGCACTAAGGCCAGGGCCACCTGTGTTGGGGGGTTTGCACAAAACAGGACTTGCACCTAGGTCAGGCTCCGAGCTCTGGAGAAAGATGACATTGGAGCTGAGGATCAAGGACCTTCTATCTCAGCCCTCCCTGATGACAGATGAGGATATTGAAGCCTCTGATAAAAAGGGGCTGCTGGCCACTCACAAGCTGCCTGCCATCAGAGGGGCCCGATTTCACTCTTTTCCCATGGCAAGCAACTAAGGGAGAGGCTGAGTCCAGATGAACTCTGCGACTTGTCCACTTGGAGAACAGGGACTGGTGGCTTATATGGAGGCTCTGTCACTCATGGGTGAGATGGGCGTGATACCCTCAGTACACTGGCAGCTGTGAGGTCTCATGAGAGGAGGTTTGCTAAGTGCTGAGTTCTGAGGGCTCACTCCTCTCCAGCCTGAGGATCCTGGTCCCCAACCTGCCCGTCCCAGGCTCACATCCACATAGTTGTCCATTGCTAGATGTACCCCCTCTGCTTGGACTTCCCAGCCTTGTAAACTGTAAGAATAAAAAGCAAAGCCAACCTAGTAATTGTTTCATCACTCCTTGTTTTTCATATATAGTAACCAAGGTAGCAATAAAAGTCTCAGAGAGATCTGATAGTTTCTGATTCCATGAACTTAGTGGACAAGTACATTTTCCATATGAACTGAAATCATTGCAGCCATGGTAAATTAAGAAAGTAATAACAAAAATTCACATTATCAGTATGCTGCTATTTTAAAAATACAATCTTACAAAATAAAACCCACATAAACTGAAGCTGTGGAATAATTTCAGCAATTGAAAATCACTACCTTCTCTAGAATAACAGATACTTAGTAATGAAATGATTCAGAAACCAACATGATGTATGTATTCTGCTTTCTTTAGAGTGAAATTGACATCAATTTACACTGTATCACGCTAAATATATCCAACAAACAGTGCTTAAATAATTTAGTCTGTCATACTTATTTCACCAGTACTTACTAAAGTCCAGGATATTTTTTAAAATTTAGTTTTGTTTTTGCCACTGCTCATAGAACCTTCACAGACAAAATGTGTCCTATTCTAGGGCTTCTGCCTTCTTACCCATTCTTTTTTCAAGACAGGTACCCTTATCAAGACACTTTCAGTGGTGGATGAGATTTATGTGCTTCATGAATTTCTAGAGCCTTACATTATAACTCTCATAATGGTCTTCTCCACAATTGAAGAGACTTGGGTTCTAGTCCCACCAGGGCCACATGCTACTGAGACTTTACCTTTCTTTGAGTATACTTCTTCATATGCTAAGTGGATTACCTGGTCTCTTTAGCTCTAAAATTATAAATAGTTCTTAACAACTTGTGTAGCAACCTTACAGTAAATTAGGCAATACCAGCCTCAGTGGGAAGTATCACACAATTGTGTGTTGCTTATGACACTGTCCACATGCTGGTGGTTCCTTCTCAACTCTGGGCATGGCTGCAGGCACTGTCCTTGTCCAGGGACTGCCAGCCTGGAGCATTTTCAGGGCTAGATGAGTTCCCTGAACTGACTAGAAAATCATCACAGAGGGCCTTTTTTGGGATTTCCGTTAACAAAACTAATAGATCTGCAACATAACCAGTGCCACTTTAGACAAGCCCAAGTACAAAATGACACTGCCCCCCTCCTTCCCTCCCCTCTCCCTTCCCTTTACGAGAAGCCTCCTGACTTTAACAGAAACCCCTTTCGCTTCTGCAAGGAGGCAGTTCTCCATCCGGATCCACATTAGCATAATGACCCTCCTTGATGGTATCAGCCAGCCCTTGGTGCATTATATAAGCTCTACCACCCCCACAACTGGTGCCGTCCCCCATATTCAGGGCAGCCCTGGACTGTTCCCCACTTTGAGCACATCCCCACTTTGAGCACAGCCCTACAGATTCTTTTCCTTTAATAAAGCTTGAACAGTACCTGGCATCTTGGCTCACTTTCTTTCATTATGGTGCTGAAACTAGGGAAGGATTTTGGCTGATGTTGTGGATGATCCCCTCTCTCGGGGTGATTGACCCTTGGCCACCTTTCCTGGACCTGCCGGAACTGGGTACACTCGGGACTCTCTACTTTTGCTGTTTCAGACCAATGCATCCAACGCCGGCCTCAATTCAGGGTGAGTCAGTGCGTCTGTCCAGCCTACTTCTACAGTTCCTCCGACTGCTCTCTCTACGACTCAGGTCTCCATGAAGCCCAGGCACCTGGCCGAGGGAACCCTTCTCGTGCCCCGCAGCTATTGGAAGACGCTCCTCTAGCCAGTTGGTGGCTTTACTCTCGAAAAGAAGGTGGGCACCAAAGGGGACACCCTTTGCTGGTGCTCTTCTTCTACCAGGACTGACTGCTCTTTCTCACCCTCTACATGGGATCCTCATTATCCAAACCTCCATGCTCTACGCCCTTGCGCTGTCTCCTGGCCAATTTCTTGGCCTCCAGGGAGACATTGAGCCTAAACTTCTTGTTTTCTACTGTACTCCATGCTCTATGCCTCTGGGCTGTCTCCTGGCCAATTTCTCAGTCTCCGTGGAGACATTAAAACTCAAACGCCTTGTTACAATGGATTCCAGTGGCCACAAGATGGCACTCGATTTAGACACTCACTGAAATGGAAAAAGCTGTAGAGATTCCTTGTTCAGGCCTTTTCCTATCTCCGAACGTGTTCTTCTCTCTGTCAAAACTGTCCTATGTCTCAAATTCTCCTAGCTCATGCTCGACCTCTCCTTCCAGACTCAGATCAATCTCCTGATCCATCAGCGCTCCACATTTCTCTCTCTTCCCCACACATGGCCTCCAGACGCTCGTCCTCAGCCCAACTCCTCTCCTTTTCCCCCTTTGTCAGTAACAACCCTCAGCTCCAGCTTTTTATAACCCTTCTGTGAAGTGGCTGGGATGGAAGGAATTGTCAGAGTCCATGTACAGGGAGCAGGTCTAGATGGTGGCTCAGGTACATGCTCAAAATAATAGGTGGCCTGTGGGAGCTGTTGCTGTTCCTTGCACAGACCCAAATTGGAACTACCAGGCCACCCATGGGGATCGGGATCTCCAGGATAATATGATCACACACCTACTTCATGGCCTCCAAAAGGCTACTCACAAGTCAGTTAATTACAACAAGCTTAGAGAGATCACACAGAGATCCACTGAAAATCCCAGCAAGTTCCTAACCCACCTCTCTGAGGCTTTACATGAATACACACGTATAGACCCAAACTCCCCTGCAGGCGTGGCCCTCTTACCCTCTCACTTCATTACTCAATCAGCCCCTGATATTCGAAAAAAGTGTAAAAGAGATCAGTCCAAATACCAGCTCCTGGCTAATGACATCTGTGGCTCACATACTCCAAAGCTGGCTGCCTTTATGGGCAAGCCACCCAAGAACTGCTTCAATTGCAGTCAGCCGGGCCACTTGGCACAGACCTGTCATAACCTGTCCTCACTACAAACGGCCAGGTCACTGGGGGATTGACTGTGCCACTCGCCAGAGAAGGAGTGGCCCAGTCCCAAACCTACAGCCTCTGGCTTCACGGCCATCTCTACCAGAGCTTCTCGGCTTTGCCCAGGAGGAGGACTGAGGCCCCCATGGAGATCACCACACATGAGCCCAGGGTAACTCGCCTCGTGATAGGTAAGCCGATCTCTTTTGTCATCCATACAGGGGCCGTTTACTCTACCCTTCATGAATATGCAGGACCAACACCCCCATCCTCTATCACAATAGTAGGGGTCACGGGGTCAGAATACTGCCCACGGATCACCCAACCCCTTTCCTGCACCCTACAACACACCCAATTCGCACACAAATTCTTAATAAAGCCTCAATGCCCAGCCCCCTTACTGGGTTGGGACATTCTTTTCAAATTCAAAGCTACTCTTACCCTAAACACTTTAACTCCAGCTACAATACTCCTGTTACAGTCTGCCCCAGACCTGGCCCCTGGGGCTTCCACCTTCCCCTTCCCCTTGGACAAGGTTAATCCCATAGTATGGGATGCTTCTTCTCCCTCCATTGCTTTGCACCATTCCCCTATCCTTGTTAAATTACAGAACCCCTCTTTGTTCCCTGGTGACCCACAGTACCCCATCGCTAACAAACACCCAATAGGCTTAAAACCCGTCGTACACAAACTCCTTTCTTCTCATCTTCCACTTGCCTTTTAATATGCCTATCCACTTGCCTTTTAATATGCCCATCCTTCCAGTTATAAAGCCTAATGGCTCATACTGTTTAGTACAGGACTAATCCTGACCCGTGGCATTCCGAACAATTTACTTGGACAGTACTACCTCAGGCATTTCAGGATAGCCCCCACTTCTTCGGCCAGGCCTTAGCTCAAGACTTATCTGAACTTTCCCTAACCTCTAGCACTTTAATACAGTATGTGGATGACCTCCTCCTCTGTAGCCCCTTCTATGAGGATTCACAGGCCCACACTGTTGCTACTCCTACCCCAGTGGGTGAAATCCTTTCTTTCTTGGGGCTTGCAGGGTATCTTCGCCTATGGATTCCTAACTTTGGCGTGCTAGCAAAACCACTTTAAGGGGCAGCCAAAGGGGATCCTTCCATTCCTTTAGATCCCACAAAGCTCATTCATTCTCCCTTCCAGCGATTAAAAGCTGCTCTCCTTGCAGCCGCAGCTCTATCTCTCTCAAACCTATCTCATCCTTTTATCCTATACATCACCAAAACCCAGGGATTGGTAGTCGGGGTTTGGGGACAAAAGGCAGGAGATATTTTCTCCCCGGTTACAAACCTCTCTAAACAACTAGACACCACATCTCGAGAATGGGCCCCTGTTTATGGGCCTTGTCGGCAGCCACCCTTTTAGCATAAGAAAGCTCTAAACTAACTTTTAGACAACAGTCAAGATCTTCTCAGCCATAAGGCCGAGTCAATTCTCTCCCTTTCCTGCCTACAACTTATTCACCTTACTTTCATTGAAAACTCCCAGTTCTCCTTTAAACTTTGCTCTCCCTTAAAATCCAGCAACTCTCATCCCAAAACACTCATGACCCTTAGAACACAACTGCATGGAGGCTTTAGACCTCTTTCTCAGTCCCTGTCCACACATCTCCGTGCATCCCATTATACAGTTCATAGATGGGAGCGCCACCTCCATGCCTGTCCCCCAGGCAGGTTATGCCACAGTAAATCTAACACAAGCTATTGGGGCTGCACAACTCCCAAAGGAGGTTGGGGTTATACACTGCAGAGGACACCAAACCTCCAATGACCCCATAGCCCAGGGAAACAAACTGGTGGATCTAACTGCAAAACAGCTGTTCGATCACCAGGCTCCCACTCTTCCTCTCCTGCTCAGGTCCTTCTCATGGCCCTGTTACTGGACTCGGGTCTGGCTGCCCGCCCCTTTGAAAAGGAAAAAAACAAAAAACAAGACAAAACTCAAAAGTCAAATGGTTGGTGTTAGAAAAGCAGTTGTATTCAGCTAAAGGAGATCGTAGGCTACCCCATCTCAAAGATTTACATTTACTGAGGGGTTTTTAAAGGAAGGGTTGAGGGGATGGAATGTGGGAGGTGAAAAGCAGGAGAGCAGGAGATGTGAATTACAAGGAGTCCATTTCTATGGGTCAGGTACAAGGTCTTGCCAAGGCCTCATCTGGCTTCTGTTCTCATCTTCGCTGTCATCTCAGGACCCTGCAAGATTTTGATTTGTGCCAGTGTACTTGGCTAGTGCCCAAGGTCAGCTTCAGTCATTTGGCCTTGATCATTTCTCAAAACTCTACAAATCTCAAAGAAAGAACTGTTAGCTTTGCGAAGTACTAATTAGCCTCTCGGCCTTGTTTTCTTACTTAGCAAGCGGGTAAGAAAGTCAGGGGATGGGAAGCAAGAGTGGAGAGAAAAAAAACTGTCCTTTTAAAAATCCTCCCCCGCAGGGCCAGCCCATGGCTCACTTGGGAGAGTGTGGTGCTGATAACACCAAGGCCGTGGGTTCAGATCCTATATAGGGATGGCTGGTTAGCTCACTTGGGAGAGCCTGGTGCTGAGAACACCAAGTCAAGGGTTAAGATCCCCTTACCGGTCCTCTTTTTAAAAAAATAAAATAAAATAAAAATAAATAAATAAAAGTAAAAATAAAAATCCTCCCCCGCCCCTCTGCAGCCCAGGCAGCTTTAGGTCCCAACATGGCTTCAGTCCTATTCACTCCAACAGCCCATATGTCCTCATCCCAATACACACTCCGAGAAGTACAACACCTCCAACAGTTGGGCCACAGAGAAGGGACAACTGGTGTACTCTCTCTCGTCGCCATGTCCTCCCTACTACACAAACTGAGCAAATCCTTTTAGATTTCCATAATTCAGTTCATATAGGCTATGAACCCCTACTATTTTTTCCTCAGCCCTTATATTACTCTTCCCATAAAAGGACACACTATCTTCTAACCTTAGCAGATACCTTTTCAGGTTGGTTTGAGGCTATTCCCTGTACTTCAGAGGATGCTACAGCAGTAATGCAAATCATCCCTCGTTTTGGCCTCCCCACCAGTCACTCACTCACCTACGGGCTGCCCCCTCACGAGCCCACAGGCCTCAGCCCCTTTGAGCTTATGTATAGTCGGCCCTTCACTCTCACACCTCTCTCTTCCAGCTAATCGCCTTTAGCCAGTCATCTCCCTACTCTTTTGCTCATTAGGGATCTTCTTAGGGAACAGGCCAACCTTCTATTACCTCATCCTTTCCCTGCCACCCTCTCAGACTTAAAACTGAGCCAGGGACAGCAAGTGTATATTAAAACCTGAATCCCAAAGCCCCTCCCGCCATGTTGGGAAGGGCCTTATACAGTACTTCTTGCCACCCCAACGGCAGTAAAAGTACTAAGAAAGGCTCCTTGGTATCACTTATCCTTGGTAAAACTAGCACCTGAGACTTTACCCAAAAATCTGTTTACAGGTCCTTCTGCTCAACCCCCACCCCAATATCTCCTCACACTTCATCCATTTTAGGACCCACAAAACTAAAAATCTCCAGGACCTTCACTCTTCCCCCAATCCCAGAAGAAGGATGATCTTTCCCCCGGCGATTATCCTCTCACTCTTGCAGTCTCACTTCATGTCCTTCACACAGGAGCTACTATTATACTATCCGTTCTAGTACTTGCTACAGGATTGGCAGCAGCTGCCCCAGAGCAGTGTAACATTACGGGAAGATTTCTCCTGGCACTTCTTTACCTCCTATCGGTAGGATGCTTCTTAGCAATGTCACTGTGGCAATGTCCCCCTTAAATTCTTTTGGCTCCTAACCCATCTCATCCTTCCCGTGTTTTTCCTCCTATCTCAATGCTCCCCCTTACCTGGAACATGGAGGTTCAGGTCCACAGGGATGATTCAGTCCTCAGCGAATCAGATTGGTCCCCGAGTGACTCATCTGTCTCCCACTTCACGAGAGACTTTTTGTGGTCACCCCCCTCCCTGTCGATGCAGACGTTTCCACAAACGTCTGTTCACTGTCCTCTAATCTCATCTCGGTGAGGACTGTCAGCGTTGTGCGGGGCCTGCCCACACTCTGCCTCACTAACACCAAATGCTACCACTCACTTACCCCCTCCTCATACATGCCCTAAAACCGGAATAGATTTCCTTTGTAAAACTACATTATCCTGTTGCCTGCCCCCCTAATGCAATTTCTTGCCTGTTCTTTTGGCTTGTCCCTGACATCACCCTCCAGACAGATGGAGAGATGGAGACGGGACTGGGACTAACTTCAGCCCCCCCCCTTCAGGAAGTGCCCCTGCTCCCGTAGGGCACTAATTGTACCTTTTAATTGGGCAAGGATCCTTCCTGTAACTGGAACTGGCATAGCAGGCCCTGCCACTGCCTCTCAATTCTATCAAAAAATCTTAGAAGAACTAAGTATAGATAGCATCTCCTCCCTCTGGTGACAGGTCACTTCACTGGCGACAGTGGAGAGTTACTTTACAGAACCGTTGGGCCTTTTACTTTCTTACAGCTGAGAAGGAAGGCACCTGCTTCTTCTTGGGGGAGGAATACTGTTATGTAAATGAATCTGGGGTGATCCAAAACAGCTTAAACCATTTCACTGAACCCTTGGATACCCTGGCCTATGTCCCTACTAGGACCCCTAACTGTGCTTCATCCTACTTTATGGTCCCTGTCTCTTTTGGTGTTTCTCTAATTTCTTGCAGGAACGTATGCAGACTTTCACCAAGCAAAAGGTCACCAAATTGTTCTGCAAGGAGGATATCAGCCCCTCAGAATCAGTGACCCTTCCCTGGAGGAATACAGCCTCCCCACACGAAACCAATACCCCGCCACCTAAATCTTTTATTTTTTCCATATCTTCACCCATTGTCAGCAGGAAGTAGCTTCAGAAGAATGAGACCTTCGCCCCTTTTCCCTTTTTCCTATACTTAAAAGATAGGAATAATAGATCTGTAACATAACCAGCACCACTTTAGACAAGCCCAAGTACAAAATGGTGCCACCCACCTCCTCCCTTCCCCTCCCCCTTCCCTTTATGAGAAGCCTCCTGACTTAAGCAGAAACCCCTTTTGCTTCTGCAAGGACACAGTTCTCCACTCCGATCCACATTAGCATAATGACCCTCCTTGATGGTATCAGCCAGCCCTTGGCACACTATATAGGCTCTAACAACCCCACACCTGGTGCTGCCCACTATTTTCAGGGCAGCCCTGGGCTCCCTGCCACTGAGCACAGCCCACCAGATTTCTTTCTTTAATAAAGCTTGAACAGTACCTGGCATCTCGGCTCACTTTCTTTCATTTATTATACATATTTGTGGGTGGTAGAGTTTGGATGTGTTGTCCCACCAAAAGTCATGCGGAAATCTAATCCCCATTGTGGCACTGTTGAAAACAGATTGGGTCATGGGGGTGGATCCTTCATGAATGGATTAATACCCTCCCTGGGGAAGGGGGCATTAATGAGTGAGATCTCGCTCTATTAGTTCCCATGAGAGCTGGTTGTTTAATAGACCCTGGCACCCCCCCGCTTTCTCTCACCATGTGATCTGCTTGTATCCGCTGGCTACCTGCCACTTTTCCACCATGAATGGAAGCAGCCTGAGGCCCGTGCCAGATGCAGCTCTCCCAGAATTGTAAGCCAAATAAACCTCTGTTCTTTATAAATTACCCAGTCTCAGGTATTCCTGTTATAGCAACACAAACAGACTAAAACAGAAGACTGGTACTGAGGAGTAGGGTGTTGCTATACAGATAGATACCTGAAAATGTGGATGCAGCTTTGGAACTAGGTATTAGGCAAAGGTTGGAGGAGTTTGGAGGACTTAGAAGAAGAGAAAAAGATGAGGGAAAGTTTGGAAGATTTTAAAGAGATTGGTTAAATGGTTGTGACCAGAATGCTGATAGAAATGTGGACAGTAAAGGCCATGCAGATGATGAGGCCTCAGATAGAAATGAGGGACTTATCGGAAATTGGACAAAAGATCACCCTTGCTGCACCACAGCAAGGAATTTGGCTGCATTGTGTCCATGCCCTTGGACTTTGTGGAAGATGGGACTTAAGAGTTGTGAACCGGAATATTTGGCAGAAGAAATTTCCAAGCAGCAAAGCATTAAGGAAGCTGCATGGCTACTTTTAACAGCCTACTCTGAGTTATGGCGGCAAAGGCATGATGTAAAGCCAGAATTTAAAAGGGAGGAAGAGCGTAAAGATTTGGAAAATTTGCAGCCTGGCCATGAGGCAGAGAGGTGGGGAGCAGGAGAAAAATGCAAGGGTGAAGCAGATAAACTGTAATGCTAAATGCTAAAGACATTATCTTGGTGGTGAGGCAGCCAGATGCTAATAACCAAGACAATGGGGAAAAAGCCCTAAAGGCATTTGAGAAGTCTGGGAAGGTGCCCCACCCATCACAAGCCCTGAGGTCTAGAAGGACTGAGTTGTCCTGGAAGACAGACCTGGGGCTCAGCTGCCTTTGGGAGCCTACTCCCTGCATCCCAGCTACTCTGACTGGAGCAGCCCCAAATGTGGTTCGTGCAGCAGCTCTGGAGAGTAGAAACCTGAAACCTTGGTGGCATCCACCTGGTGTTAAGTCTGCAGGCCAGCAGGACATGCGAGCAGTGGAGGTGTGGCAGCCTCCACCCAGATTTCAGAGGATGGATGGAAAAGCCTGGGCCCAAGCAGAGTCTTGCCACAGGGGTGGAGCCACTGCAGAGGCCATCTACTAGAGCAATGCTGATCAGGAAAGTGGGGTCAGAGCCACCACAGAGAGCCCCCACCAGGGAAATGTCTAGTAGAGCCAATGTGGTGGGGCTGCCACCAGGACCCCCAAACTGCAGGGCCACTGGTAACATGCAACACAGGCCTGGGAAAGTTGCAGGCACCAGTGCAGCCCACTGTGCTGTGCCTGGCAGCACTGTGGGGGTTGGGCTGCCCGATGCTTTGGGGGCCCAGATGGCCAGTTGTGCCCAGGATGCTGGACTTGGAGTTAAAGGAGATTATTTTGGAGCTTTAAGGCATGATGTCTGCCCTGCTGGGTTTCGGACTTGTTTAGAGCCTGTTTCTCCTTTCTTCTGGTCTATTCCTCCCTTTTGGAATGGGAACATGTACCCAGTGTCTGTTCCACCATTGTATCTTGGAAGTAGATAAATTTGTTTTTGATTTTTACAGGTTCACAGCTGGAAGGACTTTTGCTTTTGGTCTCAGATGAGACTTTGGACTTCGGACTTTTAAGTTGGTGCTGGAACAAGCTAAGACTTTTGGGACTGTTGGGATGGAATGATTGTATTTTTCATGTGAGAGTGACATGAGTTTTGGGGGGCCAGAGGTGGAATGATGGAGTTTGGATGTGTTGTCCCCTCCAAAACTCACGTGGAAATTTGATCCACAATGTGGCAGTGTTGGAAACTGATTGAGTCATGGGGGCAGATCCCTCATGAATGGGTTAATGCTCTCCATAGGTGGGGGGATTAATGAGTGAATTCTTGCTCTATTATTTCCCACTAGAGCTAGTTGTTTAAAAGACCCTGGTACCTTCCCTCTTTCTCTCTCTCTCTCTCTCGCTTCCTCTTGCTATGTGATTTGCTTGTACTTGCCAGCTGCCTGCCACTTTCTACCATGAGTAGAAGCAGCCTGAGGCTTGTGCCAGATGTAGCTGTCCCAGAATCGTAACCCAAATAAACCTCTGTTCTTTATAAGTTACCCAGTCTCAGGTATTTCTGTTATAGCAACATAAACAGACTAAAACAGTTGGGGATATTCTACAAACCCTTTATCTAGATCACCAAGCTTGTGTGGCAGCGCCCTCTGCCAACAGCTCTGCTCACTGGTCTAATGTCGCCGAACTCCCCCTTCCTGCGTCTGGTGAGAGAACCACTTCTGGAGCACAGAGTTCTCACAACTCTTTGTCAGGCAGCTCCTTTCCTTTTGGGCCTAACCCCTTTTGCACTCTGCTCAATTGCCTCTTGGGACCTAGCACAGAGTGTGGACTTCTTTCTTATCATTCTATGAGATAAAACTTTGCACCTCCATTACCTATGATCATAAATTGCTTGAGATTTCCAGTCCTTAATTCTAAGTCAGAATGGGGTGGGGTGGATGTTGAGAGAAGGAAGGGGATCTCAAGATCCAGAATCCTGCTTTAGACCAGCAGGGACGAAGAAGAATGGGCCCCATTTATTGATCACTGCTGTGTGTCAAGCACCTTGCAAATGACTGCTAACATTTACTGATGCTCACTTTGTGCCAGACACCCTTTTAAGTACTTTGTCTGTGTTTAGTCATTTAGTCCTCACAAAAATCATATGAGGTACTATCTCCATTTTACAGATGAAGAAACAGGCATAGAGGAGGGACAGTCTGTTGCCCAAGGTTACACAAGGAGTAAACAGCAGCACCAGAATTAAAACAAGGCAATCTGACTTGGGCCCACAGTCTTTTTTTTTTTTTTTTTTTTCTGGCAGCTGGCCAGCATGGGGATCTGGGCCCACAGTTTTAACTACTATTTTATACTGTGACATGTAAGACTTCATTCATCCTTCTAAAAGCTCTCAGAGATAGGAACTATTAGTATCCATTCCCATTTCATGGGTAAGCAAACTGAGGCATGGGGGCTTTTATTAATGTGTCCAAGTTCACAAAGCTAGTGAATGGTAGACTCTCTAAACTGGAAGAAACCTTAAAACTGAAAACATCTATTTCTCTCTTTTTTTTTTAAAGGTGACCAGTAAGGGAATTTAACCCTTGACTTGGTGTTGTCAGCACCACGCTCTCCCAAGTGAGCTAACTGGCCATCCCTATATAGGGATCTGAACCTGTGGCCTTGGTGTTATCAGCACCGCACTCTCCCAAGTGAGCAACGGGCCGGCCCGAAAACACCTATTTCTAACCTTTAACTAGAGCACAAATGCTCTGCCTATACATTGTGTGGAGTCACCTTGCTGTGGTCCAAAACCCTGACTTTCATCACCACATAGGCACTACGAGCGAAATTTCTATCTACTTCTGGGTTCTTGCCTAATTCTTCTCTACTAGGGAGAACAATTTTTAAACTCCTACAGTAGGAACTAAATCCCTCAAACACTGTAGATAAGTGTTTCATTTTACTTCGTTTACCTCAACACAAAAACTCTTCCTATTCTTAGGCCAGGATCATGTGCATGTGCATAACGCAACACTTCCTTCCTTTCCTGCTTATTTTTCCTAAGATCTAATAGCAGTTCAGTCCAACTATATTCTTGGTCAATTCCTCTTCTTCATTTCCAAAGTACCTGTACTCACTGGGTTATCAAAACATAGCAGATAATTATGGACTTCCCTCAACTCTAATTTCTCTCTCTCTTTTTTTAAAGATGACCGGTAAGGGGATCTAAATCCTTGACTACCAGTGAGCTAACCGGCCATCCCTATATAGGATCCGAACCGGGGCCTTGGTGCTCTCAGCACCACACTCTCCCGAGCCACGGGCCGGCCCTCCTCAACTCTAATTTCAAGTGCCATAATTTATCTCCTCAGAAATTCAGGGCTAGAGATCAATGTGTACTTGGATTACCAGAGTCAGCCCTGGGTAAAACTACGTAATAGGCCAAAGTTTGTCCTTGGCAAGCTCAACTATGTGTCCCTTCCTCCGCACCTGGACTTTGTTTCCATCTGTTCCTCCTAGTTCTGTGCTCCTATTTTCTTCACTTTCCTTTTCAAAACCTGCTCTCAAGGAAGGATCTGAACTAACAGTAAGGCAGAAATAACTGCTGATCTCTCCTAATTTATTATTATTATTATTATTTTGGCAGCTGGTCCATACAGAGA